TCTACTATGCGGTCCTTCTGCATCGAAGTCGTACCGGGTCAGTAATCCGGTAAGGTCCGGACCCGGACGGTGTGCACCCGAGTCTTTGATCCAGAATGACTGCACAGCAGGTCGGTGTGGTGTACCCCGGTGTGGTGTATATGTGCTGCACTGTATCAGTCCCGTACCACAATAACACCACTGCATACCTAATTAACGCTGACCGTTGAGCCGGTGGTCTTGTTATGCTACGGTACCTGTCCATGCAAACCTCCCCGTCCCCCCCCCCCCGCCCACCACCACACACGCATACCTGCGGGTGGCTGCTGTCCACTCCTTCTGGATCCAAGTCGTACGGGGTCAGTAACCCGGTAGGACTTGCATCCAGAAGGCGTGCACAGCAGCCATTCGCAGGTGGGTGTGGTGGTGTGTGTGTGTGTGATGGGCTGCATCGGTGCCGTACCAAATTAACACCGCTACCTCAGCGGACAACACAAGTGTTCGTGCACCGTGCGCTTTCACCTGCGCTACCTTGTGTACTTGTGCGGCGAACGTCGGCGTCTAATCGTTAGTCGTCTAGTCGTTAGTCGTACGCCACACGGTCGTTATCGTCTGCAAAGCTGGCGCTGCTTAAGTAGGCTGTACAGTCCCCGACACAGATGGTGACTGTATTTAATATTAAACTGTGTAGAACATTTAGAATTTAACGTTGATAACACCGCTGCCTCAGCGGACGGTACACACGTTCGTGCACCGTGCACTCTTCAATGCACCATCGTTTCTGCTCTGACATACGCCGACGCATAACTTCCTCTCTTATGTTCTGCCCTGTCACTGTCCTCGTTTCGAACCACGACCCTCGAAATTCTAGGACCGGCACAAGGTCTACAGTCTCCGACGCTGCTGCAGGCGATTCTACGATTTCGTTGGTCGAGGTTCGACACGATGACGGGGCATAACAGGTTATGCATCGACGCATGTCATGGCATACACCGGCAAGCCTACATACACTTTGCAATCGTACATAACAATGCCTACCTGGTAGACCAACAGCGGTGTCGTCACATAGCTATTTAACCGCTGAGCCGGTGGTGTTATTATGGCACGCTAATGCTGCACGCAAAACTCCCCCCCCGACACCACACACACTCACACGGCCACATGCACCTGCTGCTGGCTGCTATGCGGTCCTTCTGAATCCAAGTCATACCTGGTCAGTAACCCAGTAAGACGCGGATCCGCAAGGTGTGGACCCAAGTCTTACCTGGTTACTGACCCGGTATGACTTTGATCCACAACGACTGGACAGCAGGGCGGTGTGGTGTAGCCCGGTGTACTACTGTGTGTGTACATATGACATGCTGCATCGCTACCGTACCATGATAACACCACTGCCTCGCCGGACAGCACGACTGTCCCTGCTCCGTGCGCCTTTGACTGCCCTACTTTGCTTACTTGTTGAGGCGGTGGTAACTGCGCTGTTGCCCGTTGTACTCATGCTGCCGCCTCGACTTGGAGGCGGCTTCCAACTGGAGATGAAGGAGCGGCGGCCAGACTCCCGGTCATGGCGGCTGGGCGGTACACAGCACCTATTGCTGCCAC